TTAAGAAAGATGATTATGGTATTTTAGGAAAAACGTGTCACATTTCTTATAATTAACTAACTTATCTAATTTTTTTAATCTAATCAAATTAGTTAAATGGGTCTTATATTAAGGACTGGAGGAGTAATAAGGAATATTATTTATATGCAAAGAGACAGTTTTAGTAACAAATTGAAAAACATTATGAAATATCTATACCCAATGTTAGAAAAAGTAAACTACTACATCCGATCCTAATTATAAGAGCCAGTTGATTAATTTGAGGATATTAAAAAAGTAAATTGAGTTAGTTATTTGTTCTAAATATGTGTTGTTTTTCCTAAAATATCCTTACTAATCAAATGTATTGACTAGAACTATCATTGTTAGAAGGACTACTTTGAAAAAAAAAATATAAATATAAGAGACAAACTGGATGGGGTCTTATATTTAGGATCAAAATAAAACTCAAATAGAGTTTTATATTAAGGATCAAAGGTAGTATAATTTTAATTAAAAGTAAAACATGAGAAGTGTAGTAGGAAAATGCTACGATGCTTCGGAAGTGAAATTTTTGGAGGAGAAACATAATTACAGAGACCACAGTCAGTCGTCCACCTCTCCACGTTGACTTCCTTTTTTGACCCCGGCTCTATTTACATATAAGTATACTTCTCAATTATATTTGCTGTCCTAATTTTGTTTATGATATATCCAATATAATCATATTATTTTTTTGATTCATCTATTGCATTCAACACCCTAAATGATAAATAAAATTAAGATGATGAATGTAATTAAAAAAAAATAACATCAAGAGTACTATTGGTTGCTATAAAAAAAAAATACTTTACCTTTTAAACCTTATAAATAAATGTACAATCATATTCATCAATTTGATCAAAATCAGCATAAAAGCCCTCCTCAGTCCTTATTTTCCAAATTTTTTATAATAAAAAAACTCGTTTATTTAAAGTACTATCTCCACTCTTAATTATAAAACATCATTTGTAATCTATAAATAAAGTTTTATAATTAAAATAAGAGGTAATAATAGATAATGCAAATTTTGGCACATGGGATACAATTTATTTTTCTAGAAAGAATAAAGTTAAGACTATTCATGATGTATTAATTATTACCAACCGGTAGACTTGCGGTTTATTAACTTAAAGCATGACTCAAACATTAAATTTAATAATAATTTTAAAAGTAAAAGTCAATAATATAGACGCAATCACATGTTTAGAATGAGGAAAAAAAATAAATTGAAAAGACGAAAACAAAAGGAAAAACAATAATTAGTGGTGCTTGGAGAAAGGACAAGAAAAATGGTAGCTTGTGGAATGCAATGGGACGTGAAAAATATCTTAAAAGACAAAATATTAATATTTCATAATTTCGTTGTCGCTGTTCCCATTCCAACTTGTGTACTGAGAAAGTCAGAGCATCATACTTTAACTTTAGCAAGGAATCACGTTTGTAGCCAGCCGCCCCGCGCATGTGCCCACGCTCGCAAAAGCGCGTGCACAACTTACTTTCTACGCTCAATTGCTCATAATAATACGCAGAATTCGATTTTTATTTAAAAAAAAAAATTAAATGGAGTTTAAATTAAATTTTGATGAGCTTATGACGACGAAATGAGAGGGTCATCAATAGGACTGTGTTATAATTTCACCACCGATTTCATTTGTCACGGTCTCCACAGTTGTTATGTTTTGTTTTGTGAACTTTTTTTTTATTATTAAAGAGAAGTTTGGATAGAAATTAAATTAAATTAAGGTCTTAAAAGTAATTTTATGATATATAAAATAAATATGTAAAAAGAGTTTTGTTTCTTACTTTTTGTTTCACTCAAACACCCCCAACTTGATATCTGATATGTGTTACTAGCGGTTATAAAAACATTTTTTTAGTTTGATTTTTGAAGATATCTGACAGTAGATTATCTTGGAGCTGCTCGATCCTTTCACATCTAATTGTTGCCTAATTTTCAAGCTTTGAATTTGCCCTTATAACTAAAAAAAATGTATCTTTTCAAAAAAAAATCCATTCAAAGCGTATTTGGTTAATCAAAAAAGCATTTTTAAAAAATATTTTTACCCAGTTTGAGATAAAATTTTTTTATATATTTATTTCATATACCATAAAATTACTTTTAAAACTATAATTTTTTAGTAGTAAAAAGAAATCTCACTTTTTATATATATTTGTGATAAAATCATTTGATTTTGTTTGACCTTCAAGCATCACAAAATAATAACTCATGCATCATAATATAAGCCAAAATTTCACATCATGCTATCTTTCACAGGCTAAATACATCATATGTATCTCCACAATTTATACATCATAAACATTAATAATAACTAGTGCGTTTTATATATTTACACGATTTGAGATTAATTATATTTTTTCCCTAAATTATGAGGAGTTTTGAATCCTACATATGTCAATCTTCGCTAAAATTAAGCAAATTAGTACTCCTACCCGTCTTTTTGATAAGATATGAATAATCAAATTATGTAAATTGAAAAATTGCTTAAAATTGATTAAAGATAATAAATATATGAGGAATATATATTTTTTAAATATATTATTATTTAAGGAGGGAGAGAAAATAAATATTATCTCTAGTTCTAAATGTAGAAGCAAGACAAAATATTTTCTTTGATCCTAAATATAAAATATTAATCTTTTTTCCCCTCAAATTATAACTTTTCTCAAAATGTTTCTAATTTTCTATTGATTATACATAGTTTAGACTTTAGAGTAGGGGTGTTCATCAAGCCCGCTAGCCCGGTATGCCCGCCCGAGCCTGTGAGAAAATGGCCCTGCCCAGCCCGGAAAAAAAAACAGCCCAAAGAAAAATGGGCATTTTTGGGCTGGGCATATTATGGGCAGGGCAGGGCTGCGGGCATGGTATGCTGCCCTGCCCATTTGGCCCTGCCCGTGATATATATATATTTATAATTCTTTTTTTTGCCAAAAATACTTATAATAATATATAATATATATAATAATATATATTATTCTCCCCTCTTCCATTTGCCATAGATACATTTAGTGGTATGCGTAATTCTTCCTTCTTAGTATCTTTTTAATTTTTTTTAATTTGGTTTAGTATCTTTTAGTTTGTTTTTATTGTTGGTTGTCATGCAAAGATGCAAAAGCAAGCTCACTTTAGTGTTATATTAAAAGATATATCAATTTAAGACAAAGCAAAGTTATTGATTTGTTGAATTTATTGTTTATTCAAGTATTTATTTCTTTATAATTGTTATAAGATACCTTTACTTTAACTAAAAAAAATTTCACCAAGATATCACTATTTGGGATTGGAAGCCCACCCTGCCCAGCCCGAAAATGGTTAGGGCTTCTGTGGGCAGGGCAAGGCAGCAGGCCGCAAAATGCAGCCCGTTCATTTTTCGGGCCGGGCATCGGGCAGGGGGCATGTCCTGCCCAACCCTGCCCATGAACACCCCTACTTTAGAGGTAGTCCTACTGCATATTATTAGAAAGGTATTCTAGGAAAAAGAATACAGTTTTATTATAAATAATTAATTTAATTAATTTTTTTTTACTATATGCAAATCATTTATCTATCTCTCATATTAAGAATAAGAAGAAATAGCCAAAAAAATATTATAATTAATGCAATATATATAATCAATTAGAAATATAAAAAATGAATCAAATGTTTAAACATCTCCAAAAACTGTAATTTATAAAAAGCACCATACACATTCATGGGTTTTAGATATGGAATCTTGTAAATAGATATGAATTGGTCATAAATACAAGGAGAAATAGGTTTTTCCACTGGCCATTTCTTGCATTTTCATTCATTTCTCATACCAACTATTAAGATTGCAATTTCAACAGTTCATATCTCACATTATATAAAATAATTTTGTAAACTTTTTTTTATTATTTTTAAATTATAATGACAAAATTTAGTAGTTTAAATCTATTTTTTTAAAAAAAAATATAACATTTTATTTATCATTTTTTCCAATCCCATCCTTATTAATTTAATAGTTCTTTCTGCTCTTATTATTCCAATCCCAAAGACCTTGAACACTAGACTTCATCCCATAGAGAGAGAAAGATCCAGTCAAATGTTCATATTTGATACGATACTCTCATTAAATTAAGAATATTTTAAAAAAATATAATACCAATCTAATTATTTTTTTAAAGAGAAGGAATTAATTCTTTGGGCCAGATATTCAAATATTAACATGCATCGTTATTAGTTTCTCTTCACAAAAGTGACTTTAATTTAACTAGAAAAGTTGATTTAGGTTAGGAATTTAATAATAATGTAGGCCCCATGTGCCGTTTGATTTACCATTCTAGAATTTCTAATTATCATAGTATTGAATATTGGACCAAACCAGCTAGATTAGACCAGAAACTGACCAACCAGTCACCTTACCAGTCCGGTCAAATGCAAAAGGTTTGGTGGGTTAACCTGGTTATGTTTTTTTTTTTTTAAAAAATCTTTTAATGCTAAAGAATTATTAATTAGGTACTAAATGATTGTAAAGAGGAATATTTTATTACCATAAATCTATTTTGATATTTTACTTAAATGAATATTGAGTGATTTTAATAATATGATAATATGATATCAATTTATCAAGGGAACTGAAAATGAAACGAAAATATAAGTACATAGTTATTTTGCTAGAAATTTAAGATATTAAATTGATATTTAGTTTTTTGAATAGCATGATAAGAATTTAAATTAATTGTTAATTTTTTATTTTTTTTTTAATCAATTTGACTCCGATATACCCTGCTCATTTTTAACCTATCGTCTCAAGTGATTCAAAAGGCGGTCCGGTTTTCCTTACCTTGCATCTTCTACGTATATTTCCAGGAACAAAAGTTTCACTTTTTCCCTCCCTACTTCGCTATGATCGCTGCCTCTTCCTAAACGCGCGTGCTTTCGCGCGTCCTGTCGTTACCAGAAAATCAGCAGCCAGCAGCCAGAAAATCAGAGAGAGAAGGGAAGAAAGGAGTTTGAGTTTTGACCATCCATGGTGATCGTCTTTTTCTTTCTTCTTTCTTCATTTCGTCTCCCTCACTCCACTCAGCTTCTCTTTTCTTTTCCCCTTATCTTCTCCTGGACCCCTCATGCATAACTAGAAGCTCTAGCACAGGAGGGTGTGCCAAAAACACAGAAGACATGAAGATTGTTGGGGTGCTTCTCTTTCTCTTCTTCTCCACGTTTCTTACTCTCGGCTCTGCAGCTCCTTCGTCTTCTTCTCCCTCAGTTAATAATTCTACATGTCCCATGGATCTGAACTATGTGCTGAGAATTCCGTGGAACTCTTCCATGTGCCAAAATTTTCATCCTCTGCATTCTGTAAGCGACACTCGAACAAGCCATTGTTGCCAAACTTTACTGTCCCTAATTGGCATAGGGCTTGCTCAGCACCTTAAAGAAACCTCCATGTTCAACCTCCCAGATATTCGTACTTCCAATTCTTGCCTCCGTGACTTCCAATCCAAGCTCTCTTCCCTCTCTCTCCCTGAAGACCTTACCTCGGCTTGCTTCGACCCGCTTCAATTTGTGGTTAGCCCTAACGTCTGCGCGGGGATCCAAACGATTCGTGATTGGATCGGGAAGCTCGGAGAAACGACGCCACTTAACCGGGGATGCAAACCGGACCTTACTGACCTTACTCTCTGTGGTGCGTGCGTGGCGGCGGGGTTTCAGGTTCAGCAGGAACTCACAAATATTGATGGTAATTCTTCACACGCCACAAATTGCTTTCGCTTTGCTATTTTGTATGCCGCTGGTATTGTGAATGAGTTTGGGCCGATGAGTAATGGTGCTGTGACGTGCATTTTTGGCATGTCGGTTTATCCAACGTTGGATTCTGAAGAAAGTGGTCGCCATCAAGCTCTTGTGTTTGGGTTAACCGGAGCTGGGGTTGGGTTGTTAGTCATGTTCGCTTTGTTGGGTCTGTATCTATGGTATGATAGGAGGGGGAGGAGGAGAAAACATGAGAGTTTTCAGTTTGATATTGATCCTGAAGAGCAAGGATCTAGGCCTAGAATGAGGCCTAATACGGGATCAATATGGTTTAAGATTGAGGAGCTTGAGAAGGCTACCAATGGCTTTTCATCTAAAAACTTCATAGGAAGAGGTGGATTTGGGATGGTTTACAAGGGAACCTTGGCTGATGGATCAGTGGTCGCAGTTAAAAGGATTTTGGAATCTGATTATCAAGGGGATGCTGAGTTCTGTAATGAGGTTGAGATTATTAGTAATCTGAAGCACCGTAATTTGGTGCCACTTAGAGGGTGTTGTGTGGTAGAAGATGGTGAGAATTTTGAGGAAAGAGGTCAAAGATATCTTGTTTATGACTACATGCCAAATGGTAACCTTGAAGACCATCTCTTCCTATCATCAGTGGGCAATCAAAATGAAAAGAGATCACTGACTTGGCCACAGAGAAAAGGCATAATTGTGGATGTGGCAAAGGGGTTGGCTTACTTGCATTATGGAGTTAAGCCTTCAATTTATCACAGAGACATCAAGGCCACCAATATACTACTCGATGCAGATATGAGGGCAAGAGTTGCAGATTTTGGGCTTGCCAAGCAGAGCAGGGAAGGTCAGTCTCATCTCACTACTAGAGTTGCTGGAACTCATGGATATCTAGCCCCAGAGTATGCACTATATGGTCAGCTCACTGAGAAGAGCGATGTCTATAGCTTTGGTGTGGTTGTTTTGGAGATAATGTGTGGGAGAAAAGCTCTTGACTTATCCTCATCAGGATCCCCAAGGGCATTCTTGATCACAGACTGGGCATGGTCCTTGGTTAAATCAGGGAACATAGACGAGGCTTTAGATGCTTCCCTTTTAAAAGATGGTGATTGTCCTACTTCAAATCCTAAGAGCATAATGGAAAGGTTTTTGCTTGTGGGGATTCTATGTTCTCATGTGATGGTTGCTTTGAGGCCAACGATTTCTGAAGCTTTGAAGATGTTGGAAGGTGATGCCGAAGTTCCAGAAATCCCTGACCGGCCTATGCCTCTTGGACACCCTTCATTTTACAATGATGATAACAATACTTTTAGCATATCTCCAGCATTAAACGGCCCAAAATTGCGTAATGGAGACATGCTCAGGTAATAGACAAGTCAACTTAATTATTCCTTACATCGCGTACGAAGCTGGGAGCTTTTCTCGCCATAGGGCTTGCCTCAAGTTTAACTGAATCTTGCTGATGAAAAAATGGCTTCATTTGAAGTTCATAACCTGATGAGTATTGTGGGATAATTGAATTCCATATCACCAATTCTCGTCAACATTTCAAGAACTGAAGCTTGAAATGCCAATAGGCCTACCTTTGTGGAGGTTCTATTCTGAAGTGTGGAAAAACTTAGCAAGCAGGGCATGATTGGAACTGTTGTCTCTTTACATCTACTATCTAAGAAACTATAATTCACTTGAGCTGTTGAAAATAGGTATAGGATAAAAGTCTTAGATTGGCTAGCTATATGGTATAGAGTTCTGCAATTTTCATGTATTTCTTGGTTTTGCTTTAGGCTCTTGTATATAGAGGGAAATGTAAATTCAAGCGCAATTGAAGTGCTGGTGTTGTTTCATAAGATGAATAGGGTGATCTGTTTCTTATCTTTTCCTTGGTCCTCAGCAAACTGTCATGTTCAATATTGCTTCTTCTTTCTTGCGTCATATTGGATGTGAGTAGCAACTTCACCATTTGATGAATTTGCGAGGCTGATGGCTATGTTTAAAACAGGTTCATGGGAGATAATTGATCACTTCAGAAGGATCTGAGGCCCAAGATCTAACTTCCAGAGCCTATCCCTCCCTCTTATTTTTTTTCTTTTCATGTGTGCGCCATTTAAAAGGAAAAAAAAAAAAGCTCAAGCTTTTTGTTTTTTTGTTTTTGTTTTAATCTCAACTTCTTTTGATTCATAACTTTTCCTTGGAGAGTAGTTTAGAATCTTTACATTGCTTTCTGCGGGCTTGTAAATACTTGTCATCGAGCATCTAGTAAGATTTTGGTTATGTATGCTCTTAAAATCATTAGATCTGAGGTTTTCTCTTTCAGAGTCAGGGACAAGAAATCATTGCGAGTTTTGTTTAATTCTTTGGTTGCATTCTTCTCCTTGCGTCAAGAAACAACTGAGGGAAACAATTGTTTATTGGGAAGGGAACTTTCCGTGCCAAAATAAGTTATTATGTGTTGCAATAGGATAATATAAGAAAAAGGGGGGGGGGTATTGATGGAACGATAAACAAATTTGCAGAACAAAAATGATAATTGATAAATATGATGTGGCAAATTAAATAGAATATGTGACATGTAATGACACCATACAAATAACCAGAAGTTTGTTCTATCACATACATTTTATGATCTGTTTGGTATGAGAGAGAAGGGGAGAAGAGAGAAAATTTTTATTAGTTTGGTTTAAAAAGTTAAAAAATTAAAATTAAAATTTTTTAATTAGATTTTCGTGCTCTTTTATTTTATACTTTCTCTTTATGATAATTTTAAAATTTTATTTCTTTAATTTTTTAAATCAAACTCGTTAAAATTTTTTCACCCCTTCTTTTCGATTTTCTTGTACTAAACATTGGGTTAAGTTCTTATTAAGTTAAAATTCTATTTAGTTTTATGAGACAATTTTTCTTATATATTTTACATATTTATTTTATGCAGCACAAAATCAATTAAAATAAAATAATTCGAATTAGTTTGTACAAAAGCTAGTTTTAAGTTAATATTTTATTCTGCAAAATTTTTGTATCAAAAGTCAAAAGTAGGTTTTTAGAACGACGGTTGGACATTCTATGAACGTGGCTAGGTTTAGAGTTAACTTTATAACGTTATTTTCAACTTTTTTAAAAAAAAAAAAAAGACTTGAGGTCTGTGAAATAAAAAATGGAAACGATGCAGAGAATCCTACGAGTTCTAACGGTTTTTCCATCATGTAAGGGCAACCACTTTATTTTTTTGGGGGCAGACATGATAATGAAATGTTGAGATTTTTCATGAGGAAGAAGATGATTTCTTATACTAACCCCCCTTAATTAACTCATTTAATTTTTATTTTAATCTTAAATTTAAAATATTAATATATCTTATCTCTTATATTTATTTATTTTTTTTAAATAGTCCTTATAATAATGATAGTTTTAACTAATATACTTAATTAGTAAACATATTTTAAAAAAGATACTACCTCCGGTCCCAATTATAAGACTCAGTTGACTAATTTGGGAAGATTAAGGAACTTAGTTGAGTTAGTTATTTGTAATGAATAGGTATTGTTTTTCCTAAAATATCCTTACTAATCAAGTGTATTGACTAAAACTATAATTATTAGAAGGACTATTTTGGAAAAAATTGAGTAAATATGAGAGACAAAATAGATTGATGTCTTATATTAGGACTAACATAAAAGTCAAACGGGGTCTTATATTAAGGATCGGAGGTAGTAACATGTATTTATTACAAATAACTAACTTGGCTAATTTTTTTAATATAAAGTCAACTAGCTTTTATATTAAGGCTGGAAGTAATATTATCCTATCCTTAATGTAAGAATTAGTTGACTAATTTGAGTAAATTAGGAAAATTTGAAAATTTAGTTATTTGTAATAAATAAGTGACACCTTTCCTAAAAAACCTTTACTAATAATATATATTAGTTAAAATTACTATTTGATGGAACTTTTAACATGGGCAACTATTACAAGTACAATTTAGAAAAAAATAAATAAATATGAGGGATAGAATATATTGGGAGTTTTATATTTACAATCAAATTAAAAATCAAAATAGCTCTTATATTAAGGATCGGAAGTAGTATGTAGGAGGTTGTGTGTTCAATCTCATTTAAAATTCTAACTTATTATCTTAGTTCTTAATATAAGATCCATGTAATTAGTTAAAATAGATTAAGAGGGGTAATTAATTGGGAAAATCGCAAAAAAAGAAAACCCTAAATTTGAAAAACACATGTAAGGACTCGTGATAACTTCATTATGGGTTTTGACAACTTTATGGCATATTATTATTGTCAAAAGCTATAGTGAAGTTGTCACGAGTCCCTATCTGTGTTTTTCAAATTCTAAGGTCTTTAATTACGATTTTTCCTAATTAATTAGTTATTTTTCTAAAATATGTGTGTTGATTTTTTTTTTTAAATGCCCTCTTAAATTATTTGTGCCGAAACTATTATTTAATACAAACTTTCTTATCATGTATAATCAATAGGGATTGTTCAAAAGGAGAAAGATAAGTATGGAGACAAATTAGATCGATATCTTATATTTAAAATCAAACTTAATTTTTAATTATCTCTTATGTTAATAACTGGAGATAATATAAATAGTTGTCTCTCAAATTAAAAGAATGAAGCAGCCTTTCCGGTGGACAAAAAGACAGCACTACGAATGCCTTTAGTTCACGTAAAGTGAAAGATGACAAACCATCCCACATCTAAACTCCATAATTCTCCACTTTATATTGTGTTTAAATGATGCGTTTTGCCATCATCCAATCCATTATCCTAATTAAATAACCGGACACAATGCACCAAGTTCGGGAAAAAAGGAATATTTACGACTTATTTTATATATATATATATATATTATATTGTTCAGTTGTCGAATCAAGATATTATCTCAAATATTAATAGTATATGTTTGGGGTGATTAATGACCTTAAAGTGAGATAATAAAAGCATCTGTTGATTTATTAAACAAAAAATAAGCATACGAAACATATAGGTTTAACGTGTATTTTTTTTTATTATTTTCAGTATATGTTAGCCCCAGAAAAGGCAATTACACGTGTATTCATAATGCATGCGAGGGAGAGCTGACGTGGATTGCACTGGAGACAATTTCTTGAGCTAGTTCCAACGTGTCCAAAGAAATTCACTGGGGGATGTAGAAGCGCTAATTAGATGAGATCATATATGGAGTTTTCTTTTTAAACAGAAAGGCAAAAAAAAAAAAAAGTAAAAAAAAAGGGAAAAAGACTGAAAAATACCCTTAAATATGTGAAAACCCAGATAAGTGCATGTGAAAAGCAAAATACCATATCAAACCTGGGGTACTGATCTAGCATTTGCAAATGTTGTCCAAAGACATAATTGGCCCCGATCAATGCACAAAAAGAAAGACAACACAGAACGAAGCTTGTGACCAGAGGAGCTTCTGGGAAGGCAAAGGAGGGAATAAAAATCGGTGGAAGCTGTCAAAGAAAGGCAAGATAAGTTTAATTTTAAAGTCATTAATACTGTCTGAAGTTCAGCTTCTTCTTCCTCCTCTCCTGATGGTTGTTATTTCGGCGGGCTGTGTATGTGGGTGAGTGGGTTTTAGGTGGGTTAAGAGGTGAAGGTGTTGGGTTATTATTTTTGGTGTTGCAAAGAACTTCATTCACAGGTTTTGGTCTTTTATTTTGTGGGTCTGCATTGGTAGAAAGTGTTAAGCAAATTACTTCGTTGGTGTTCGATATAGGGTTTGATTGTTTACTGTTTGAGTATGGCCGAAAGCATTAGCGTGGGTGGCAAGCATGAGCATGAATAGTGAGAAGTCGATGAAGTATGTAGTTAACATATAAGGCAAAGTTGTGAAAAACTAATGTGTTGTTGGTAAGGGAGGAAGTGGGGTTCTGTTATAGACAGCGATGAAAGTGAATAATGTATACTGTTTATTGTGTTTTTGCATATTCGAGCATGGTAGAAGGCATTAGCTTGGGTGGCCCAACCTCTTTGAAGGAACTTTTGTGTTATTTTCATGTTGGAGGGACATTTGTAGTTGACGAGGAAGGTGGAGTTCAATATAAAGGGGGTAATGTGAGGTTAAGGAGCATAAAAGAAGCCATTACAGTTGAAGATTTAAGGGGGAAGATATCATTATGGTTTGGAATTGATAGTAATAATTGTGAGATGAAATATAGAGTAAGTTTTGATGAGAAGACATTGGTAGATTTAGTTGATGATGGTGAGATTGGGAACTTTTTTCAGTATAATGAGAGGCATGGCCATCTATACGTAGCATGTAAAGAGAAAGAAAGTGGTGCTGATATAATAGAAGATCTGGAAATGTAAGTGATATTTAATAGGCTATAGAAGTTGTCATTTGTTATATTATTGTTGTTAATTTCGTTACTGAAATTGTCACTGTGCATGCAAAGTTGACAGATTGTTGGGCCTGTCACAAGAAAGGTCTGGCTCATTCAGCAGTATGGAAACTGAATATGAACCAGTGGGGTATGAAGATATGGGTGCGGCCTTAATGTATGAAGTTAGAGGCTGTTCTAGCAATATAACATGTGGAGTACAGTATGCACCAACACCATATCTTGAGATGAATTGTTCAAAATGGAGGGAATTGATTTTAGGACAGCTGCAAAATTTTGCCCATACAAAAGAGTTTAAAAAGTCAGTGCACAAATATAGAATAGCACATGATTTTGAGTTCAAGTATGTGAAGAATAGTAAGGACAAGATGTTGGTGAGATGCAAGGTTGAAGGTTGCCCATGGAAGATATGTGCAAATGCAGTGGGGAAGAAGACTCCTTTCCTATGCGTGACGACATTTGTAAATGAACATGTGCATAGTGCGCAAGACAATCTCCAAGTCAGCCATGGTGGAAGAGCTAGTTTGACATCAGCAATTATAATTGATGAGGTAAAGAATCACATAGACAAACGGCCTACTGAAATAATGACAATGTTGAAAAGAGACTATGGGGTGAATCTAACATACAAGCAAGCATATAAAGCTAAGGAAAAAGCAATGGAGGAAATACAAGACAGACCTGAGCAATCTTACATGCTAATACCTTGGATTTGTCAAAGACTAAAGGAAAGTGATGAAAAAACTACTGCTGAATGGGTTGCTACTGGGAATAACATATTTGAGCGAGTTTTCATAGCTTATGGGTGTTGTATAGAGGGTTTCTTAACTGGTGGTAGGCACATATCGTATATGGATGGAACTCACCTAAGTGGACCATATAATGGAACATTGCTGTCAGCATCGGCTTATGATGCGGACAATGAATTGTTACCATTTGCAATTGCCATTGTAAAGAGGGAAACATATGAGGATTGGTCATGGTTTCTGTATATGATTAAAAATATCATTGGCTCTAGACAGTTAATAATAGTTTCAGACTGTCACAATTCAATCATAGCAGCTGTCTGAGCAATATTTGGAAGTGAGAGGCATGCATATTGCTATAGGCATGTGAAGGAGAACTTCAGTGCAGAACTAGTTAAAGCAAACAGAGGCAAGAGAAAGACAAGTAAGTCCATGAAGGAAGATGGGTTGCAATTGCTTGATAATATCGCATATGCAAGGCTTAATGGTGAGTTCGATAAGGCAATGGACCACATGCATTGTTTCTCTCCACAGTTATTCCAGTGGCTCAATACTCATGGAGATGTGGAAAAATGGGCATTGAGTAAGTTTCCATATCGACCGTGGGACAATATAACTACAAACCTTGCCGAATCATTTAATACTTGGTTGATAAAGGAAAGGAGGCACAACGTTACACAGTTTATCCATAAGCACCGTGAGAAGGTAGCCAAAAAAATGTATGCAGCTAGTGTGACAATGGGTAGATGGAGAAATGGAATAGGACCAAATATTGATGAACACGTAAAGAAAAATGTTGCCCTTGCTGAACATATGTTGCCTGAACCGTATGGTGGGGGCAGGGTTGTTGTCCACACATCCCATGGAGCCTTGCGTGTTGATCTCGGTGCATACACATGTAGTTGTGCAGCTTGGCAAATGTCGAGGATCCCTTGTCCACATGCTTGTATAGCCATAAAGTCCATGCATGGAAATGTCTATGACTTTGTTGAAAATTACTACAAGATCACATCCCAAGAAAAGATTTACTCCCGCTGCATGATACCAGTGGTCCCCATTGACAGGCCTGACCCAAATACCATTTTGATGGAAAATATTTCAGAGCAAATTTTTCTGTTCCCACCTCAGACTAGTCGACCTGCTGGAAGGCCAAGAGCTAACAGACGCGAATCACAATTCTAGAACAAGAAGATATGCCACTGTGCAAATTGTGGTGAAGCTGGTTATACACGGAGGACCTGCAAAAACCCAAACCCAGCATGAAAGTGGCTGTAAATGTTAGAACAGGCGACATTTTTAGTTATTTTGACCCCTTTGTAATTTTTTGGGCAAAGGGTTTAATGTAAATGATGCACAGCATGCAGAGGGTGTAAGTAATATGTACTGCATGCATGGGTTGCAAGCTTTTTAGGTGACAAGCAAACATTAAGTGCAAGTATGACCTTAATGTTGACTTGTCATTTAATACAGAAAATGCTATTACTGTCAGTAGAAATCTGGTTTGTTGTCAATGGTTAGAGTAACGTTGTTAATAGCTATCATTTTGTTGTCAATGTCAATGTTAAATAGTGAATGATATTGTGGAACCAATCTTCTGAACTCCTTCACATTATTGCCCTATAATGAATGAAGATGTTTTATTAACTTGACCTTTATGCCATTTTCACTGAACTTAGTTACGTCTAATATTAGTGACTGGTTCTCTAGAACTCAACTTTGCAGCTTAGATTTAGTCATCATATACAAATGTGTTGTGATTCCATATAATTGTGTTGTCAACATGCTTCCAATGTTGCTTGATTCCCTGATCAGTGGCTAGTTCCCTTCATTCCCCTGAACGGAAGTTCCAGTGTTTGTGTTGTCAATTCATATGATGACATTGTCATTATGGTTTAAAGTGTTGTGCACGTGCATGCTGCGAGAATAACATCCTTGTGTCCGGATCAGTTTCCCCTAACTGCAACATCCATTTTCCATGTTATTAATTAATTTGATCATGTTGTCATTATATATAGAAGTGTTGTCATCTTGTATAACTATGAGAAACATCTGATTTGCTCGACTTCCCTATCTGTTGCCCCTGAATGCGACTTGTAGCTTTACGTGTCGTTAACTGCTATGATAGTGTTGTCACTATATTTAAAATTGTTGTCACTTATGCTACCCAGGTTTCTCCATTGCTCTCCCCATTCAAACTTTCACTTTCGGTGTTAACTTAAATGATGGTATCATCACTTCATATGCAAGTGCTGTTTAATTTTATGATGGTGTTGTCATTATATATGAAAATGTTGTCAACGTGCAAAATAAGGAGGACATCTGATTACTTCCTTTTCCTACATAGGGTATCCCCGGAAGCAAACTTTCCAGTTTCTGTGTTGTCATTATATATGAAAGTGTTATCATTATCTTCGTGAGTGTTGTAAACACGCAACTCCTATTTTTATGCAAGTCTTTACCCCAGGTTTCTTTTTTGATTGGCTGAAATACAAATTACTAGTTCACGTGTAGTCAACATATATAAAGGAATTGTCCTTCTTAATGAAAGTGATGTCAACGTCCCTATCAAGAGTTTACATTTCAAAGTAACTAGAACATGTAATGAACTTACCTAATAGCATGGTGTCAATAAATACGGAAATGGTATTAAACCATTTATAATAGTTGTCAACGTGGTTCATACATTATCAGAACTTGAATTTCTTACAATATAAGTGGTGTTTCCAAAGTACACGCACACACCAGACATAAGATCACCATTTGGCAAACGGTTTGTTTCTGTACAAAACAAGCGGTTCATTTGTAATATAAAGCCTAACACCAACCACAAACAACCATGTATACTACTTGGATAAATGCTACCGCTTTGTAGTCTTCTTTTCTTCTTGAAGTAGCTTCAAAGCTTCAGCCCTCTTAACGTTTCCCTCATGGTTAACCAACCACCATAACAGCTCAAGTATAAATATAGTGACTTGTTCATCTATGTAATCCAAAGCCACATCCGGGGACCATTTGCTTAACCATATCAAAACATGTACACCGCAGTCTTTCCTGGGCAAAAAAAGTCATTCATAAATTGTTAGTCAACTAAAAATAATTTATGTTCAATAATGATTGGTCAGAGTCAATGGCACTCACAAGTTGGTTTGTTGTGGAATATGAGGCATAATTATATCTACCTTTGGCTTCTTCCCAATGAGCTCTGGTTTGACCAATTCAATTATATCATAAAAGCGATCCCTCTAAACATAAACACATGACCATAGTAAGTAACAAATTTATACAAGTAACAAATTAATATAATAATAACACCATTATTAAGGTTCTCTTATTCAGTTCTTTCGCATGCATTGTGAGTAGCTCCTTTAGGATCCTCCAGAAATCCCTTTTTCTTGCCTTTCTTCTGCTTAACACCATCGACCTTCATCGAATCAAGCACATAAAAATTAAATGTCTTCGACTGGAGGACATAACAGAACCAGTGGTCAGCCACAAGAGCAGGCCCAAAAATCAGATCACAATCTCCTATGTTGTACCCAACATGCTTAGGTAATATTTGCTTCTTGTGCTCAGAAGCCCTCCAACTAACAAGACGTGACACCATTTTCAGTTATAATTTAAGCTTGTGTTAAAAACAAGCAAATATCGATAAGGCAATGAAATAAGTTATTCATCTAACCATGAAGTAGGCATCAAACAAGTGTCTTTTCACATTTCCTTCCTCTTTCATATCCGCCATCAAGGTCTTACATACAAGCGACATCAGCTGCATGTTTATTTCTTGGATTCCACCCAGTGAAAGTAGTTCTTCCTAAGTGAGTACTTCATCATGCATATCAACTATTGGCCTGAAAAAGGAACAAAAAATAATTCAGTCCTGGATATGATTTTGTTGTCAACTCATATAAGTGACGGGTGAAAACATAATGAAAAGTTGTCATTTTATAATAACTTACTGGTCATCCTGATCCCGTGAAGGCATCCTGGATATGATTTTAAAAAATTTGTCCTTGTCCTCCAAAGTCCTCTTTCTCTTATGCATTTCCTTCATCCAGATCTATGGAGATCTAACCGTTGGTTTAATCACCCTCTTTGATCTTCAGAGTTGTTGTCCCTCCTCCACTCCTTCCCCACTCACATCACAGATTGCTTGTCCTTCATTGGTAGCCTCATCATCATCACCTTCTCCTTCTCCTTCTTCTTCACTGGTAGATTTATCCTTGTCACCTTCTCCTCTTCCTTCTTCTTCACTGGCAGATTTATCATCATCAACTTCTTCTACTCCATCTTCTTCACTGCTACATTTATCATTGTCTTCCTCTTCTCCTCCTTCTTCTGTTTGTACAGATTTACCCTCTTCTCCTCCTTCTATGGGAGACTCATCATTATTCCCACCCACATTGTCCTCAAAATCTTCATCAATGTGAAAACTGTCATCATCTCTTCCAACTCCTTCTTCTTCCACCTCAATTGGCTCCTTACTTCCCTCTTGGACGCCTTTTTTATGTGTCTCTTTTGTCAGCTGAACCTTCAGCAACTCTTCCGCAATTACATTGAGTAGTCTTTTATTGCTCTCATCAATAATAGTCACCAATCGTCCATATAGATTGTTCAACTCCTGCAACAAATACCATCAAATTCAACATAATCCACATACTAAACAACTAAAAACACTACACAAAGTAACACATACCGGGTCTAGATAAGGAACTCCTACTTTGTCCTCTTGCCCCACTTTCACATCTCTTTGTGTCCCTCCAAACAACAACCCTATGTTGCTCTCCCTCTCTATCTTAACAACTTCTTTAACTCTCACCTCATTCCAGTACTCAATAGCATTTGCAGCATCATGCACATCATTTTTTTCAGCCTGAAGTGCTCGCAAAAATATATCTGCAACATGAAATAAATAAAATTATACAAATATCAATTAAATCAAACATTGACAAATTACATTACATTACATACCAACAGCAAGTACACACAGCCGTTCACATTAGAGCTCCCACCACTTCTGAATGCTTTAACATAAGCCTTCAACTCTTTCGCCAAGTCCTTCATAATATATGTAGCCCAATCATAATGCTCAAACTCATTCATGGTGCAAGCTATCAACTTCAGTAACCGGTCACTTACTTTATCCCTTGAATTTGGACATAGAAAGGTTCCAAGGGTGTACAACATAAACAAAAACTCAAATTTATCATCATGCTGTCCAGATTTAATGTCATTTAATATCTTGGTAAATGACACTTTATAGTACTCCCTCTTCAATTGTTAATATGTTGGATTATTTTCATCTACTTTGGCCTTTACTACTTCCTCAGTGTTAGGTAAACCAAGAAATATTTTAACATCTTCTTGCTTGAATTCCTTTGAAATACCCCTAATTCTGAATTCATGTGTTGCTAGATCATATGAACGAAGAAAAACCACTAGTAGGTCACATGGGAGTCTCTCACATGCTACATGCAGCAACTTTGAGAACCCTATCTTCTCTACTCTCTCCCTCAAACTTGCATTATCATTTACAAAGTCCGCCAATGACCTGAATTGGGACAGAGAGCACCGGGTTTGGAATAGAATTTTGTTCTTCCTTGTTTTCTTTCTCTCAAGCCTTGATTCCCTAGCCTTGTCATTGTACCTCTTTTTTTCCTCCTCACACAACTCTTTCCATGCCTTTGACACTTCCTTATTCTGTTCCTTAAAACGCTTTGACCTCTTTACCCCTAATTTCTCATAAAACTCCTTCCTAAACAACATGAATCCATTCTGTACTGATTTCGATGAATCTCCTTCCAAGACCATCTTCGCTCTTCTACATATAAACAGTCACTGATGCTCAACTGTTGTCATTCACTATACATTCGTTGTCAATCGCAATATAAACATTCAAAATATCATCTTCAACAATCACTAGTACTCAAATGCTGTCATTCACTATGCAATAGTTGTCAATTGCTACACCTCTGTAATAACTTCCACTTACAGATGTTGTCACCCTCACACACAAATTAGCCAAAAATGATTATGGAAAAAGTAATCACCAAAATATAACGTTTCCTCACCTCATTCAGTACAGTGAGGCTTAATTTTAATTAACAATAAAATCATTCAAAAAATCAAAACAGTCACTTGTACTCAAATGTTGTCATTCACTATGCATTCGTTGTCACTCGCAA